TGAGTAGGATATTTAAAATGTCCACTCAAATTTCCTAGTTCAGTTACTCCACGCTAGAATGAAATGACCACTACAGCTATTTTAGTACAGGTAAGCTGACAACTTATACACGCTATCAGACAGACTCCTAGAGGTGAATAAGATAAAAGCAGGCTATTTTCAGACATTACCAGAGAGAGACTAAAAATGGAAGTTGGTAGTAGCAGTCTAGCTGCAGGTACAAAAAAAAGGGGGGAAAATGGCAGAGAGGAGGAAAAAAAACACTGAAATAGGGATCTTAGTTTTAGAAATGATTTCTCTCAAGAACTATTTGTTTGTAAATTCTCTGCCAATATAAAACAGGCTGTGGACTCACGTAATAAGCTGCATAAATATTGGGGGAGACAAGGGAGAATCACAGAAAATTAGGGTTGGAAGGGGACCTCAGGAGGTCATCAACAGAACTGTGCAAAACAGCACTGTTTTGTTTCAACTTAAGTTTCGCCGTTTTGAAGGGACAGTTTGTTTCGTTTCATAACTACTTTTCCATTCCGATGCTAGTTTCAATGTTTTACCCATAGGCTAGAATGGGGAATCATGAAAATGCCTCTAACTGTCATTTCTTGCTTGACTCAGATGAAAATTTTGGGGATGGTAGCCCCTTCTGAGGACACGAAGGCTGCCAAGTTTCAAGCAGATAGGTGCAGGGGTTTCTGGGAAACTGCACCTCAAACTGTTCAAAGCAAAACTCTTTTTATCACTTGCCGGCAGTGGCAGCCTGCTGAAACCCCATGCGCAGATCAGGGGCCCATGCTCCCCAGGAAGAGCTGAGGAAATGATCAGAGAGCTGGGGGAAGCAAATGAGAATGCTGGGGAATCAAACAGGGAGCTAGATGTCAATATCAGAGCAGTCCTTCCCCCCTTTTCTCCCTCCCTCTCCTTAGTTTCTGTTTAGCTGCAAGCCCAGCTTCGAAACTTTTGAAATGTTTTGAGTGCCCTCATTACATTTCAAAGCTGTTTCAAAGCCTTTTGTTTCATTTTGATTTTGTTGTTTCAAGCTCAAAACATGTCGAAACAGCTTCAAAATGAAACACCTGGCAAAGTTTTGCACAGCCCTATCATCTAGTCCAATACTTTACTCAAAGCAGGACTTCCCCAATTATATCATCCCAACTGAGGTTTTGTCTACCTGGGTTTTAAAAACCTCTAAGGATGGAGGAGATTCCACCATCTCTCTGGGTAACCCATTTGTGCTTTACTACCTTCCTTGTGAGAAAGGTTTTTCTAAGATCTAACCTAAACTTTCCTTGCTGCAACATGAGACCGTTGCTTCTTGTTTTGTCTTCTGCCACCAGTGAGAACAGTCTAGCTCAGAGGTGGGCAACATGGCAGATCTGGCTGGTCTCCTGCCTGCATCACTGTGGCCAGTTTCCATGGAGACCCCAGGAGGGGCAGTATCACAAAGTTTCCATGGAGACCAGCCCAAGCAGTGCTGGCTGAGTGCACAACTGGGCAGGGAGCTGATCCAGGGCTGGGATTTTGTGGCAGTGATGGTAGGGGTCCAGAGGTGGGGCAGAGTCATGATCTGCTGCATGCATGCGCCTGCTCTGCGGTCCTAAGCCAGCGTGTGTGGGCAGATCGCAGCTCTGCCCCAGTTTCAGACCACTCTGTCACCACTGCAAAATCCCAGCCCCAGGGCAGCTCCTTGCCCAACTGCATGTCCTGCCAGCCTCCGTGGAAACCTTGGCCCCACGCTGTCATGACCCTGCCCTTCCTGGGGTCTCCATAGAAACCAGCTGCAGAGACATGGGCAGGAGCTGCTGGGAAATGAAGTCTGCCATGGGCTCAATCTGGCTCATGGGCCAGATGTTGTCCGCCCCTGGTCTAGCTCCATCCCCTTTAGAACCCCCTCTTCAGGTAGCTGGAGGCTGCTATTAAATCCCCTCTCAGTCTTCTCTTCTCCACTAAATAAGCTCCATTCTCTCAGCCTCTCTGCATAAGTTCTATTCCCAACACCAATTTCACTGCCCTCATTGGACTCTCTCCAATTCGTCCACATCCTTTCTGTAGCGGGAGGCCCAAAGCTAGACATAGTACTCCAGATGTGGTCTCACCAGTGCTGAATAGAGGGGAAGAATCACTTCCCTCACTCTGCTGACAATGCTCCTACTAATTCAGCCCAGTATGCCGTTAGCCTTCTTCACAAAAAGGGCACACTGTTGGCTTATATTCCACTTATTATCCACTGTAACCCCCAGGTCCCTTTTTGTAGAGCTGCTGTTTAGTGGCAGGGCACAGTAATTTTTTCACAATTCTGAGCACCAAGCCATTACAACCTGAGAGCACAAAATGTTCTCTTGCAAAACAGTTAATTCTGGGATAGGTCTGTTCCATTTCTTTAAGCTACATATCTCCCTTTAATTTTCCCAGAGGCATACATGCTACTCATAATGCCCAAGTAGACATAACTACTTTGCCTTAGTAGAGAAAGCCTGAATAACTTTGGTGTCCTCAAATTACAGAAGGGGCTAAAGCGCTTCAAGGGAATGTCCAAACCCTTGAATGTTCAAGGGTTTGGACATTCAGACAGGAGTTTCAGACACTCTTCCAGGTACTCAAAGTCAATTCTTTGCCCATCCAAATCCCAACAACCCCCAAACCCAGCACTACAATAAGTTATCTGTACCTGCCCAAGCTACAAAACATTTGGCCTAAATGTCTGGCCCAAAAAGCACATGTAGATTCTGTGACAGAGACAATTTATAAGCTAAGATTTCCTTAATTCGCATACATAATTATAACCACAGCCAAAAAACCACTGCTCTTTGTGGGAGTTTTACCTTCATAATATCACACCATTTTTAAATTTATTTTACAATCCTTGGGTATTACACAAATGTATGGACACAAAAAATAGGAAAAACTTAAAAAAAAGAATTAAGAAAAAAAAAAAAAAATCAGATGGGCCTTTTTCATGTTAATTGACTGTTAAGGATAGAGGGCCCACTTCTCCAGGATGGCATGAACTATCACAGAGGTCAATGGGAATTGGAACTATTCAACATTTCACAGCATCCTATTCATACTGGGAGAAAGAACCAAGATAGAGGTTATAATATTAATAATGACAAATCAATAACTACACAAGAGAGCATGAGAATTTAAAACAACCAAATCTTTTTAATTAGAAAGCAACAAACATGCAGATAGCAGGTATAGAAATTTATT